ACTTTTTATATATTTTTTAAAAAATGAGAAAAGGAGACTTTGTAGTTGTTAACTGTTGCCAATGGAAACCAGAAATAGACTTCGAATTTTTATTCATGTTATTATTTTCAATTTTTTTCATAAAAACCAGAAGAGCCTTCACAAGTCAAACGTGAATTTTCATCTCAGTTATTTGCATAAGTATTTATGGGTAAGTTATAATCCCTAGATAATTTTTAATTTTTTTTAATGCATCATTTATTTTTGTCACAAATTGATTACACTCGGGAACAAAGATTTTTTTTCTTCTATTGCATGCAATTTTTTTTAACAGATCTTAGATAATTTTCGTATTGCTGAATTCAAATCTGCAATCAGTTTCTATCTCCACGTTAGTTTTTTTCCTTCTAAATAACATTTTTATTCTTTTTTTTTGTCAACATGTACAAGTTTAAAAACGTTATATATAACAGGGGGTAGCACAAATGTTGCGGCCCACTTCTTGGGGAGATAGGGCACATCATCAGGATTAAAATTGCATAAGAATGCCATCATGCGCAACTAGTTCCCCGTTATGAAATTTCTCGCGTGCGTCTGAACAGTTTATAAAAAAGAAGCTCCCCTAGCCGAGTACAACGATATTTCCGGGCTATGTAATTTTAATCCTGATGATGGGCCCTAACTTTCCTACTTTGTCACAAGATTTATGCGATCTCTATAATATCTAACATGCTTTAAATTGTACATTTCGACAAAAAATTGACTAAAAATGTCATTAAAGAAAATCTGTAGCTTTAGGAGCAAAACAAATTTCAGACGTGAAATCCCAGCACCCGAATTAGTTAAGTTGGATTTTGGAACTAGGTTTTCATTCGGTAATGGGCATTGGAGTTAGGTTGTGATTAAGTTGAGTTTTAACAAATAAACAGTGGGATATGGTTTAACTAGGTTATCTGATTATTTCACCAATCGTAAGATCTGGGAAGATTGTTTTGTGTTAATTAGCTTTGTGGTGTTGCAATCTATACGCCAATGAGGGAATCGAATTCTAATAGTCTGTTCACAGATTGGGAATTGCAGGACATTGGAAACTCTTCGCGTATTGAATCGAATTGAGGAAATGTTGTAGTGTCAAAGCTGGCAGAGACTCGAACCCCGGGTTTTGGCTGTCATGACAGATTAGCCCTATCGGCTATAATATAAACCCAGCATCAAGGAACTAAAGGGCTCCATTAGGAAGGCCTAGTTGGTGCGATGAAGTTCTGGTTATTTAACCGTATTAAGTTAAAGCAGTTAATAAACGGTTTTTATCACAATTAGCAGTTTTACCATTTTATTTATACATATTTGACTATTTTATTTGAATATGATGAAATAAAAATTAAATAAATTGTTATTTAACCATTTTTTTCCGAGAAATTTCTAACAGTGTATGACTCATGCTCTTTTACTCATAAAATCTTTTGAAACAATTAGTTTTATCAACTTTATTTTAATTTTATTTCATGTAGCGGAAAAATAATTTGTGAAATAATATTTCACTTGCCTATCTAATAGTATCTGACGTGTAAATATAAGTACACTGACTTCATTCAGCTGAAAAATACTTAAGTAACAATACCTCACTTATTAGATAATAATGTGTAAATAGGTACGAAACTGTATTTTTTATATTACATAAAGCCTAAATTATAAGTCATTTTGACTTTGAATTCATTTGATTTCCTCGTCTATATACACATGAACATTTAAATTTTTCTTCTCCCTTCTTCAATCGTATAAAATATCAAATCTCCCATTATTTTGAAATTATGTATTTACTATGCACTAAAATTGACAAAAATATTATATTTTTCTCACTATAAGAGTTAAATTATTTAACTAAGCAGCCCCACATCGATTCTATTATCAATTCACAAGTAATTGTTAGCGGAATTCAAATAAATCATGATTTTAAAGATTGCGTATCTATAAATGTTAGTTTAGCCACATTTATGTTTCATAATATAAAAAACTTTTTTACGTACAATTCACATCTATTTTAAGTTTTTTTTTTATTTTTTTTAATTCTTGCATTATGTATCTGCTCTTAAAACGTAATGGTGTAGAACTTTTAAAGACTTGGCAACAATTATATTGTAATGTATGATTCCTTGTGTTTTAAGAATGAATGATAATGCATTTTGCGGTTTAGAAAAACACTTTTGTACTTTATATTTTTTATGAAATGGTTTTTAAATGTCCCATGCTACATGCTTTCTTCTTTAAATAGTGTAGCTTTTACAAGACCACCTATTAAACTTGAAGCTAGCATGCATCCTTAAAATATATATTGTCATCCAATATTCCAGGATCATAATTATTTTTAATAATGATTTTGCAGTCTCTACTATTTACCTTAAACTGTATTTGTTTATAAATGTGTCACTAAAAATATTCAATATTTTTTAATTCTTGTTCTTACTCTAATAATAAATATTCAATACTTTCTAAATCATAGTTTGATTTTAGTTCACAATTGGCCCATAAAATACCTTTTAAAAAATAAATTAAAATTATATTTTGCAAATACTTATTCTTAATTAATAATGATTTAGCTTTGCTCTTTTATTACAGTATTGTGCGCATGTCAAAAACAACTGAAATTGTTACAATATTTCTCATTTCTATTGTTTTAACTTTACCAAAAAGATTTTAAGAAAGATATCAAAAAGATTTAAAGATAAGAGTTGCTATTTTCCGCTTTTTCTTCTATTATTTACGAATAACAAAATAATACTGAGTTTGTAAACTAACAACATAATACCTCATTTTGTGTTAGTTTTATTTCAAGAAATTAAAAAATATGCAAGCAATACGCAATATCTCAAATGACTATAAAAATAATAGACAAGTTAACTAATGCCGCATAAGCAACAAATCCCGTGAAATATGTATTTTCCCATTGTTTTGAGTAAATGATATAATGTGTGTGTGTGTGTATATGGGTCATTCTCACGAAAACTGTCATTTTTCAGTTCATAAAATCGCAAAAAAGTAAAGTGAATAAAAGTCTCTGAAACTTTTTATATTAATAGAAATATGTAATGGCATTATAAAGAAAGTATATATCCTATAAATTATACNCAATACGCAATATCTCAAATGACTATAAAAATAATAGACAAGTTAACTAATGACGTGTAAACAACAAATTCCGTGAAATATGTATTTTCCCATTGTTTTGAGTAAATGATATAATGCGAGCGCGCGCGTGTGTGTGTATATACATAATTAATTAATTAATTTCAGTCCTGATTGTTTTTTTTTTTTTTCTCACTTGTCTATTACAATTAGTTTTTGTTGTGCACCATGCAAGGTTAGAGTTAGTATTTAGTTAGAGTAGCGAGTTATAGTTTATTTTGCAAATTACCATTTAGATTTAAATTTCGAAGTTAGCATATTTTTGAAAAGGTAATAAGCGTCTTATGGATGATAAACAGAATGTAAAGAATAATAAGCTTTCCAAAACCGAAAGAAATTTAGAAAACTTCCTGGGTATTCCTCCGCTTATGTTATGCTTACGAGGCGATGTGTGAACAAGCTTAATATTTTAGGAAGTATTATTGTGATTTTTTGTTCAAATTTAGGGAAATTTTTACCATTAATTAGAGTTTTCTGTAATTTATAAGTTCTAACAGGTCATGAGCCTAAGACAAATTTAAGAAAATTAATATCATACTATAAATAAAGTTTAAGGTTTACTACGTTTTGAATGTTATCCCTTATTTGGCTACAATCGGGTGAAATATCGCTGGTTGTTGTTTTTTGGACAGCATTATAGCATGCTTGTGGGGCTTTCGGAATTCATCTGTTATTTGCAACGTTGAAATTTAAGTTGAAAGAGCAAGTAATATTGTGAACACTATAAGTATAACAATATTAAATGGTGGAATGGCCAGCTTTTCGAAGCTTATAGGCGTAAAAATCAATTTGAAGTAGTAACTCGGAAGTCTGGCGAGGACTTCTAGCCCCTAGCGCTATTTGTGCCCTGCTTTACTCGATCAATCATCAATAACGATTTTTATTCTAATCTTAATTTGAAATTTTTATTACTTCTCAAACCACATGCTTACTATATTATTCACCCTTTATGTTTATTATTATGTATAACTACATGCACCGTTTTTGCTATATTTATTACTTTTTCATTATTCACTGTGATTACAATCGACATTCGCGATTGCAACTTTCGAATATACCATCTGGGGAGACGACCGGTTAATGTCATGATTCTCCCCCTTCCTCTCTCCTCCTCTTCGCAATTGTATAAGAATGTACTACGATATTTTCCCCTTTCTTAATATTTTTCGCATTTAAATGTCTCATATATTTTTTAAAATTTCCACGACGCTTTCTTTTAGTACGATGTTCAATGCAGTTTTTAGTTCCATAGTTTTTAGTTTCCTAACTTGAAAGTTTTTAATCTATTTGATCCCACAGTGGACTGAGAGTTAAGACACGATTCCCAGTAGATCACCGAAGTCAAGTATCACTGGCTGAGGTCAGAGTACTGTTCTACCGTAAAGTGCTCGACTTTACTTGCAGGTCATCGGGCTACTAAAGCAGGGGAGCCATACCCTCTACAGAAGATCGAAATTGCGATAGCATGTCTCCGGATCATCCTGAGGGATGTTTCCCAGACCGTCATCAAAAGCTCATTGTGCAGCTCTAGTGCGACGTAAATAAAATATAGTCTCTACCTTTAATCTATTTAAAAATCAAGAGGGAGACTGGTGTACTCCCTTCTCCTATGACTCTCCACTCGCTATTGGTGAAAGCATGCAAAATGTTGCCATAAGTAGAAGGTTCTGCTCAATGCCATCTATAGCCCACTTCGATCGCCAATGGTGAACACGTCACGCTAAATAATCTCAAAATACATCGGATGCAGTAACCCGGAAATATAAGAGGTATAGAGTTTGCAGCGCTACCTAGTGTGAAAAATACCAACCATACCATCCATTTCTTTCAGAAGTTGGTTACGTCGTTTGATTGAACTTAGAATTTGCTTATGCGAAAATTGATCTACACCAGCAGGAAAATAAGCAGCTGTGATTGTTTTCGTTCCTCGTTCGAAATCATAACAATAAACGCATGAACATACAGAAATGAAATAGGTACATAAATTAGAATAATGTTTCAATCAAATATGATCTTTATATACTGAGAATGAGCACTTTCTTTTTATAATAAGGTATTTGAAAGAACATTATATCCAACTGTTTTGATGCATGTTTATGTCTTTAAATAAAGTGAGGTTGTGTACTTGATTATGTGAAATGATGTAATTCAGATCTGATTTTCAAAACTCCTTAGCAGAATAAAAGGTAGTATATCCTGTTTAATGTGTAGTTTAGTCACTTAAACAATAAAGAATTAAGCTTCTATGAACTCAAATATGTACTTACTTAAAAATTGCTTTTGGTGAAAACATTTATGAAATATGGCCTATTTTTTGAAATTTCTAGTATTGATGGGAAAAAAAATTATTTCGTCTTTTCTTTTTCCTGTAGTTTAAGTAATATTTTTTGGATAAATTGTAAAAAGAGACGTAGATTTTGTTTGTTACACTTTTAATGCCTAATGATGATTTTTTCAAATTTCGACGCACTTTTTTTTGTTCTGTTAATGATATTTTCTGTTATATGAAGTCAGTGAGTAATAAAAGCTTACAATATTGCATAACTTTGAAATTTTTTACATTCTTATAGAAAACAGATAAAATTAATTAAAAGTAAGGTTTTTTATTATACAGAATGATTTTCTAATATATATCTATGCATATATACAGCAAAAGCTCCAAGTTACAGACCAATCCAAAGAACACTCTAACCTAGGGAATTTAGGCAGAGAAGAACTTAAGTAGGGTTTATTTCTGTATTGCTGTCTGTTTACCCCAACTTTAATCACTAGGGTACCAAAGGGTTTTTGAACTTGTAAAATTTTAATCTGAAAAATTATGTTGAGGTTTTTTTTTGGGGGGGGGGGATACAATTATTATCTTTCTAGTTGGTAAGGTTTGTTCTTTATAGTTTCTCACATGCCACTGTCTGGAAGTGTCTGAAAAGTTGTCAATTGTTTTGTCACAGGCATATGGAAATCATTCCTATAAATGTTTCCACAAAATTTTGCATAGTTATTTTTTTTTCTAAATCAACAAAATGGTTTTATTTTGTTAAAACTTTATTTCTTGCTTCTTCTTATTATTAATATATTATCAATATTATATTATTCTGAGTTAACTAGTTTTTTAGTTATTCATTTAAATTGCTGTTGATTAATGTTATTTGTCTCCAAATATTTTTCTCCAAATTTAACCTGCACCAATTTATTATTATATTTAAAACCAAATGTTCACATAATTAAATGTTTTTAATATCCATACCTAAAGAATTATAAATTATTTTTTAAGGAGATTTTGTGAATGCATTTCAATGGATCAATACTTGTGGTTAAAATCTTTACACTCTCATGGACCATCACTCATAAATTCTGTAGTTAATGATGCTGTTATTGAGTAAGAAATTTTATAAATTATGCAGCCCAACTATTATTTAACGTTAATAAATTTTAAATTGGTAAAATTTTGTTATATTCTCTCTATTTTAGCTCACAAAATCTATCTAAAAAACAGAAAATATTCAACTTTATAAAAAACAAGCATGAAATCTTATTTCAAGAAAGACCTGCAGCATTTCAAAGTAAGAGTACTTATTTTCATTACTACTTTTCAAAAAGGTGTGAAAATGGAGAATAACTGTTTAAATATTTTTTTAAACCTTATTAATAGAATCACCATCTTTTGATCCTCTACCAGTTGAGCTTTTTTGGGATTGCTCAAAGGAACAAAGAAGAAAATTGTTCTTTAAAGTAAGATTAAAAACAATATTTCTTCCATTTTAAGTTTAATTTTTTATGCATAATGTTTAACTTGCTAGACGATAATTTCTACATTACGCCTCTCATCCTTTTTATTTGAATGTCTTGTATATGTTTTATGATTTTTTCTATTATTTTATTAGTTCCATCATTCATAATAATTCATTTGCTTTTATACATAATTATATCAGTAGGGATCATTTTCATTGTCGCTCAATTTTATTCATCATTACGGTTTTCATGACGCCAATACTACAAGTTTCAATTCTGCACCAAAAAATTACACTGAGTAAAGTTAAAATCACTTGCAAAAAATCGTGTACCTTCCATAACATTTTGAAGTCAATGGAGGTAACCCCTAAGAATGACCAACCTCCATCAACCACATTTTACTGTGGAACAGAGAGTGGTCGCTCCAGAGAGGTTTCATTGGATTCAGTTTTAATTCAAGTTAAAGAAAAAAATAGTTGTCTTTAAATTTGTGATTGTGTTCTATTTCTAATTTTTTTATTTCCTAAAATCAACATCTCAAATAAATGTTTTTAAATTATCTGTTCTGAACTTTTTGTAAAAAATGTTTTCTCTCTTGGCATTTTTTTGAATTTAGTATCACCATTCACAAAATCATTTAAATATTATCTTTTACTCTGTAGCATCTTGAGAGGGGTGATGTTTTGTTATTAAAAGTAATAAATGATGGTCTGTCTGACAATTACAAACTTCTAGTTCTTGCTAAACATCAGTGCTGTATGAAGTTGGATGATTTATCATTAGTTGTAAGTTTTTTTCTCACCATTTTCAATTCTGTATTTAATTTTTGTGTTTGCTAATATACTCCTTCTTTTTTACAGATGTATCTTCCAAAGTTAAAACAAGAGTTGGATTTAGTGGCCGGAGGAGTAATTAACTATGATGTAATAAGAGGTAAAGTGTTATTTTATTCTTTTAGATAGTAGTTTATTTATTTGTTATAAATGAATGTAATTACTTAGTGTTTAATTGATATTAATCAAGTGAAGTTACACTTTTAACTTAACTTGAACTCAAGTTAAGTTAAATTTAACTCAAGTTAAGTTGCACATTAAGTTACACTTGAGACAAAGAAAAATAGTATTAGTATTCTACACATATCTAAATAATATTGTTAAATTTCTTTTAAAATTTTTTATCAAAAAAATGTTATTTGAGAAATAAAAATGTGTTTTTATAGTTAAAAGGAGCTGCAAAATTTGCCTTCTAGGTACATTTATGTTGTTTAATACATTGTAAAAGTTTCGTTTAGTTAAAATTTTATGGTGGCCATTTTATCCTTTTTAAACAAAGAAAAAAAGAAATTTCAGAATATTGCAGGAGAAATTAAGTTTTAAAAAAATTATTAAGTAATTGTACTTAATATTTACGATTAAATTTAACTATAAGCCAATGAGTATTCACTCTGTAAAAATTTTATTTATTCCCTGGTTCAGAATTCAGATAGAAAATAAAAATAAATAATATGGCATTGATGGTATTTTATTTTAAATTTGAAAAAAAAATATTATAAATAAGTGAGAACATAAGTTCTAGGCCTTCAAAATATTGAAATACAGGTTGGGAGTTAAATTATAATTACTCATTTGAAGTAGTAATAATAGATAATTTTTTTATTGCAGCTGCTGTTTGTTCATGTTCTCTCCATGAACGTAAATTATTTGTTACACTTGATGACACCATTTTAGATGAAGATGCTGAGCCTGTTAAGCTTGTAAGTGTACTTAAGTAATTTATAAATTAATTTCAATATTTTTATAATTTCTTTTTTAAGTTCTTACTTCCTATGATGTTTAAAATTTACTAAATATATAATTTTATTTGTTTCTTTATGTATCTTATAGTTTTTTATGTAAGTAATCATAACCCTTTATACACAAATTTATTATTATTATCTAAAAGGGATACGAAAAAAATATTCTTATTGATAAAAAATATATATTTAAGTTTGGAAAAACACCATTGTAATTTTATAAATCACATCACTATTGTGGAAGATGAGACTAAAACCATCAAAATCTGTTTGATTGCCTAGGGGAAACAGGAATTGAAAGGCGGTTATTAGAAACACCTCTTGGTTTCATTAGGAAATCAAGCTAGTTTTTTATTCCAGTTTTTTTCAATATGATTCGACAGAGTTCAATAATGGTTTCTGAGCCTTAGTTGCTCGGAGGATATAATAGAGCATTCACTTTCCAATGAGGTGAATTGGGTTCGAATCTCAACAATGGCTTGTCAATGAGAATTCCGCACCAACCACAGTGCTGCCGTAAAAAATATCCTCAGTAGTAGACAGATCATGAGTTAAAGTCCCCTTGCCGTCAGATTAAATTGCTTATTGATATCAGATTTTTACATAAGCCTCTTTTTTAATGTTATTTTTAAAATTTTTTTATTCATGGAAAGTTGTGATTTTTACGGTTTATATCGTGATAGAATGTAAAATTCTTTGAAAATGATCTTTGATGTATATTCTTAAAACAGTCTATTAAAAGTTTTGAGAATAGTAGTTTTCCCACTAATTAGTTTTATATATTTTTTCTAATACCATGAAAAGTTTTTTATTTTAAAATGTAGTAGTGAAAATTTCTTTCGTAATTTATTATATTCTTTGGTAAGTTTCAGTTCTTTTATATTTCTAAATGTTTATAAAAGGAATTATATTTTATAGGGTAAAATTACTACTGATGAACTCCCATCTTATCTGGGGTAAGTTAAAAAGAAATTAATCTATCACTATATATTGTAAATAAAGTTTTAAGTTTTTATATCCTGAATTTACTTACGATTTAAAAAAAATTACATTTGATTTGTTTAATTTTGTCGAACTTCAACCAGTCATTTTTATTGATGAAAATTTAGTATTTAAAAGTTTTTATTCGTACTTAATTTGTTTAATCATCAATCCTCTTCAGGTTTTTTCTTCTAGGGTTTTCTTCATGTTAATACAAGTTCCTTGTCCTTAAGTCACCCTCAAAATCTTTCCACTATTTTTTTTTTTTTAACCGGGCCTAGTTCGTAACACTTTGATTTTCATACCTCGAGTGCATAATTTCCTTTAAGAATGGTGCAATACAGTCAATTCCTGCCCATTTAAGCTCTATGTTAGATTCAAAATAATATTCCAATACATTAAATTCAAAATAATATTATAAATATATTTTTTACTCATTCTTTTATAACAGAGGCATGTTTTGGTATTTTATGTTAACTTTTCAATTCAAACTTGTAAAGTACTTTATTCAAACTTAATACAATTCAATTGTTACATTCAAATTTAACTTTTCAATTCAAACATTTTGCAACTGCAAAAAAGAACATTAGTGAGATAAAAAATAGTGATTTTTGTTTCAGTATTGGAATTTTTTTAGTTGTTTCTTTAGAAAATTCAATTTCCATAAAACACTTCTGTTTATAATTGCTTGAACCACAAAACTTATTTATTATCTTTTGACAAATTTATTTTTCATAAAGGTTCTTGCAATTTTTATTTATTCATTTTTTTGTTTCACTTCATATCCATTACGTAACTAAGTATGATTAATATACAACAGTTTCTAACTTTAAGGATTTGTTTTTTTAAATAATAAAAATTTAGTGCAGAAAATATTATAATTCTGAAATAGGTATACTTAATTAATCTCAAATATTCAGTAATTATACGGATTATTAAAAATTAAGGTTGTGTTCAATAAAATAACTTAATATCGTAAACTTATACAAACAATTATAACGTAAATGTTTTTCTTATCCTTTTATATATTATGGAAGCTCTTTTTTTATTTTTCATAATTTTTTCTCTCTCTTTTGATCTGACATTGAAGGGGAAAAAAACTCTAACTGTTCAATAGTTATACTGTTTTTAATGTTCAATTTGAACATTGAATACTTTTCTGATTAAAAACTAAACTTTATATTAACTAATTGACTGTAATAAATTGAGAAAAAGTATTTTGAATTCTTTGATGATTGAAAGAGAGAGACCATGAGTGATTTCAATTTTTGAAATTTATTTATTTAATGGGGAAGCATATAATACTTTAATTCAAATGTGGTAAGTGGTATTGACAATGCTTATGTATGTTAAGCTATAATTCTTGCTAAAAAAATGTAGTTTGAGAACTGAATGTTATGTCAGTGTCTAAACACTTGTTTTATGAAATATTTAAGTTTCAAATTTAATCACTAAATAATTGCAACATAATAAGGGGAAAGGTTTGCTAATGAGTGAAAGCTATTGCTTTTCCAGCTTCTTACTTTCTCTACTTCATTTTATCAGAATTTGTAATTCATAAAATTCCAATATTAAAATGAGTAATAAATTGTTTTATAAAGTTGTATTTTGCATAAAAATTTTTTTGGTTGGATAAGTCATAAAATTTTGCGCAAAAATTTTTCAGTTGATTTTATTATAGTTCCAATGATATGACAAATTATGCAGAAACTTAAATTAACATCAAAAAGCTAATAATTTCAGCTGCTCTCCTAATTAAACCATTAGGATTTATCTTCCAGATTGTGGAATATTCTCATATTTAGAGAGGTAAAATTCCAAATTCGTCGAATAAAGGATTGTTTATTCAAAGATACTTTTGTGTCTTTTTTTTAAAAATTTAGTGAATATCATCAACACAAAACAATTAGCATATTCAAGGTTCGACCCAAAAACCATTTTGTTTGTGAAAATCCGATCATTAGATCAGAAATAAATGTATTATTTAAAATCGACTATCAAAAGCAAATTTATTTAGTTTACATGCTGTTCATACTAAGTTCTCTGTAAAAAAAGGTCATAGTTATAATACCATCTATCATTTCCGTTTCTCACATAATATTTTTTTTAAAGTGAATTGCAAGTTTCACATTCAAGTTACAAAGCCTATTGTCACCAAAGCTCTGCATTTGTAGATCCCAACTGGGCCAATCAGCTATATGATGTTCTTGGATTAAAGAAAAACTACTTACATTCTTTCTACAGAGAATGGGATGGGTCAGTTGAATCTTTATGGTCTAGTTTTTTGTATTTTTTATGTATAATATCTTTCTGCATTAATCTAATAATTTCCTTCTGTTTAGCTAATAATATAAATGGCTAACAAAGTAGAACTTATATTATGCTGTTTACATATCAGTTAATTATTAAGAATAAAACTACTTCCAACCTCAAAATTTTTAGATGATGCAGTTATTTACCTACTTTTTATTCAGATTCATTTGGTACCCCATATTTTTTGACAGTACTTTTCCAGTATTTTTCACAATATTTTAATGTCTCCTGAAAATGAAGTTTTTATATCTAGCTCTTTTTAAATGTACATATTTGTTTCCTCTAACATTCTCATATTATGTGCTTTTAATACTTAGGTACCTGCTCGTACCCATGAGTCAGGATCAAAATCTAGATTGCATGTATTTTTTTAATTAGCTTTTCAAAACTTTTAAAAATAAAATGACTTTTGATTGTTAAAAGTTGTAAACTTTTTTTTTTAATCAAACAACTAATTTGAGTTTTATAAGACAAATTACTTAGCCTCCTCTATTTAAAGTGAGATTTTTTTAGTTCCACTATTTCTCCTAAAGGGTATATAAATATTTAATGTTTTGTTAAATATCTTATAAAATCATCTTGGTACTACTTTAAAATTTAAATTGTTTCTTAACTTTCAAATGTTCTATTTTTATAACTATTTTGCTTACAGTTTAGAAAAGATTTTACTTTAATTTTTTTATTATTTGTTTCTATTCTGTTGTTATTAATTCTTTGATATTTACATAAATTGTCTCACTAAAACCACTAAAGAAAATTTACTGAACCAAATTTTTCTACTGCCCACAGTAATAACTTATATTTATAGAAACTTTTTATTTAAAATTTTTTCTATGGACCTCACAGTTATAATGCTTTTTATATTTGGTTGCTGTTAAAAAGTGTTGAAAATTTTTGTCATCAATCCAATCTTAAATAGAAAAGTATTTTAAGGAACTACTAATTTTTATGTTTGCAAATGTTTTTACTGTATACCTAAAGTTAATTTGCTATGTAATCAACGGAAACTGTGTTTTTTAGAAAACAATGTCCTGCAGCTGAAACTGGTAAAGTCATAAAAATGAAACACATAATGTGGCTTTCTGATATGCAGTATGTATTTTTATCTTTTAATTTTTAAATTATAATGTTTAATTTTTTTGTTTTAATAAAAAGAATTTTTAGCTATATTGTATCAACAGTAATAATGTAAAATTATAGTAAATAGTTGACTACTTGTTCTTTGTATGGAGAGAAAGGAATTGTAAACAAGTAATAACTCAGGACCACTCATTGCAAACGATAGAAAACGGGGATTGCAGGTCAGCATTAAATATCAAATAGTGACTTAATTTATAAAAAGTAAATAAGAATATAATTGAAAATTAACAAACTTATAATAGGTATAAAGAAGTTTAATTGGGAAAAAAATTATGTGCTTAAAGAAAAATATTTACAAGCCAAAAGGAAAATAAGTTAACTCAATAATTTTTTTAAAAACTGGAAATTTAGATTTGAACACTATTTTTCAACTTAAGCAATACATTTCTGATATTTGTAACAGATTACTGTTTATTTTCTGTAAGTTTGAGTGAATACAGAAGTTTCTCATTGCTTCAAAGACTTCAAAATCTACCACAAATGTTGCAATTGGTTATGGTTGCTGTCTTTATATGCATCGCTTTGCACTTCTTCAACTATTTATTGAAACAACAAAACCTCAAGTATAACATTTTAATCAACTGATGTATAAACATCAAATACTTTCACCAAATTAAAACAAATCCTCATTTTCTTTTTCATACCTCCATGAGATACAGTTTCTTCTCTCAAAATGAAATAACTTCACTATTTTTGTTTAAGTCGCTCAAAATTCTGAACTATAAATTCAGGAATATCTGGTATCAAAGCAATCTAAACGGGTATTATTAACATTATGTGAGTCGCATTTATTACAGGACCAATTAATCAGTACCATACATATAGGAAAGTGAAAAATGAAGAAACGCTAGATTGAGATTTGACTGTTGGAAAAAATTTGTTTTCATGCAACTTTCTCCTAATAAATAGCTTTGATTCAATTCTTGACACAGAATAATTAAATCATTAAAATGATTAATTCTTACTTCATTTTAATTCTTTGTGTTCATGTTAAACATAACAATTTTACACCCAGCAATAATAACAAATAGTGATTTTTTTTATTAATAATTTTTCATATCTGATTTATGACTTACACCTGAATAAATTAATATTACTGTAACATAAAGAATAACTGGCTCTCTAAATTATCAAGGAAAATACAAACAATACAATGACATTCAAATTGTATACTGATGAAAATGATATTGTTACCTAAAGTACAGATTTTTGTCCTGAAAAATTATTTAAAAAATACTTGTTTTGTGTTTTACCAGACTTATTTAGAAAACACTCCTTATATTACATCAGATTATGAAATTGAAATATTAGGGTGGTTTTATTATTACTTGGTTTTTCATTTACACTATTTATAGATTTTGAAATTACAAAAATTATTAAATTTGGGCTGATTTCAAAGCTATGTTTTTAATTTATTTTTTAGTATTTATGATACATCTTGCTTTTTTTTTATATCAAATTTTAAGGAAACTTTGGAAACATTTGTATAACTCAATATTTGAATAATCAAGAACACAGTGTTCTCTCTTTGTTTTAACTTCAATTGGAAAAGTATTAGACTATATATCTTATACTCTATTTTACTTTCTTCTGTAGGCTTTGTGTATTTTGATATTGTTCTTTTACAATCTTCTTCTAACCACTAAATGTATGATTTTTTCCCAAAATATACATGACTGGGGAACCATGTAAATAGAGCTGGGATAGCCTGGTTGGTAGGGATTCAAACTCCCATTCTCATGAACGGGAATTTGAATCCAGCCTTTCGAAGACTTTCTGTGTAGTAAATGGTGCCTGGTGCACGTTAAATTTGTCTGTGTAAAAAGTCCTCCATGTTCCCATAACAAATTAAACCTCTGGGGGTACTGGATTAGAGATAGTTTGTTTTCTGGTTCAGGTCAAAATCATTGAATGAATAAATGGATGCATGAAAGAGTCCTCTAAATCCCAATTCCTGAAAAACCTGACACATTTTGTATATTTTTTGTCCAGCTTTAGTTTAAAAATCATCAGACTTCTAATTAACTAAAATTATTGGAAAAATTGAAATTAATAAAATTTTTATATTGTGATGAATTGAGTTCTAAGAGAATCAATACAAGTCAATATTAGAATTTAAATGAGTTAATTGTATTGCATCTTATAAAATTAAATATTATTAAAGGAATAACTTTATCTCTTTGTTTATAGCTACAACAAAGCTGTAGAATACTACCAAGCTCAAAACTTCACTCAAGCTATACTATGTTTGAATCAATCATTGGCTATTTATCCACAGAATAAAAAAGCACTTGTTTCCCGTGGAACATTGTAAGCATACAAATATAAATATTATTTTTATAAGCTAGAAAAAGTATTTTTTTATTTCTTACTGTTTTATTATATGGTTTACTGCGCTATTTTCATATTTTTAAAATTTGTATTTTACCAAATTATATTCATGTTTATCATAGTTTGAAAGTCATTAAAATCTCAAAATCTAAATTTTTTTTTCTTTTAAAAGGATAAAGTTACTAAATTCTCCTTAGAGTAAGCTTTGAGATGGTCCATATTGATGAAAATTATTTTACTTATTTTATCATCACATTATTGACAACTCTACTTCTTTTTTCATTGTGTACAATGTTGTTGTAATGAATTGGATGATATAGTTAGAAATTATTGCCAAATTGTTCAAATGAGCATTTTTGGTGAAAAAAAGCCACAATTTCCATGTTGGTTATAAGATGTTCCTATGCATAATGTTATTATCTAGTGAAAATGTAAGAAATTTGTACATATTCCATCTGTAAAATTTACTCAAGAACAGTTAGATATAAAAATGTTAAATGTCACTTTTGGAAAAAGAAAAGTGTGGCTTATAACCATATATCCCTAAACTCTCAATATTAGTGAGGCACTCAAATCTAACGGATATTGTCAAGAAAATTTTTTTATATTTATATATATACAGTGAAACCTCCATTAAGCGGACATTCATGGGACCAAAAAATTTGTCCGTTTATGAGAGTTGTCCGTTTACGGGAAGGGTACCCTAATAACGAAATTTAACACCGTAAATTGTTTTTTGAATATTCTCAAAGATGTAGAAATTATTAAATAATATCTACAAGGATACTGTAAATATCTACAAGAATATTTATTTAAACAATAAGAAAGATAAAAAAGNGTGAAACCTTTGTGAAACAGACACTGATGGGACCTAAAAAATTGTACGGTAACAGAAGGGTACACTAATATATCAAATCTTCAGCGTCGTAAATTGTTTTTAGAGTTATTGCATTGATCTATAAATAAATAATTTACAATAACTATTCATAATGATATTTAAACAGACATTCGAGTTAGTCATATAATACCGAATAGGCGCTATTAATCCTAAGTCACTTCCTGAGACGGTTTTATTATTAGGTTTCCCCCCAGCCTAACGACTTCCAGTCACTTGATAGCAAATGTGGTAATACCTCCTTGAAGATTCTCTTGATGCACAGAAAAAAAAAAGAAAGGAGCAATGCATATCTGTAAGCTTTGAGGCCCTATGAATGTCTTCAACATCCACAACTGATCATCTGTCAAATGTCTGAATAAATGTTTCATTTATCTGAACACCTCAATGACTAGATTTCTGTTCTCTCTTTTTTTTTAACTCAGCTGTGTAAAATATAGTCTCCAAAATGATTAGAAGTAGCAAAAAATTTTCAGTGATGAGGAAGTGAGAGCATTTAAGGTGTCCTATCAACTTATGAGGTCTCGTAGCCAGCATTGACCAGATCAAAAGATGCCACTTTCTGAAATATTCCACAAGAATAGCATCATTTTCTCTTCTTTCTTTGCAAAGACAAAGGGAGTGACAGGAGAATGATTAATTCTTTAGTAGTGAAGTAACTTAGCAATTTTTTTAAATTGTTGATATAGGAAGAAATTTACATGCTTTCAAAATAGTGGAAAGTTGCATATTTCTTCCTTAAATTTTAAAGCAGAAATAATATTTTTTCTTCAAATTTCGAAAAATTGATGGCTCCGATGTGAGGAGATAGGAAATTATGTTTCAGGTTATAAATGACTGTCTACTTTGCGAAGATATTACACAATGGTTTATTCATAAAAATTTAAGGTGAATTAAAAATGTGTCCGTTCACATATATTGAAATAATAATGAATATATGTGCATAAATATTATTTTTTCTCTTTAATGTTTCCTAGAAGTAGTGAATAATCTATTTTCCTATTGCTAGTTTGTATTCTAAGTTTATTTTGATTGAAAATTGCAACTTCTGAAAAAAAATATTTTAAATTTTGTTGTTGTTATAACTAATATCTTAAAATTTTTTAGAGACAATAATTATGCCAGTCTTAAGGATAGTTCTTGATTAAATACATTTTCAATTTCAGGTATTTTAAAACAAATAATTTGAACAAGGCATTTATTGACACAGATCAAGCTATGCAGTTAGATCCTTTATATGAACCAGCACAAAAACAAATGTCTGTATTGCTTGTTGATGTTGCAAAAGAGTAAGTTTACCCATTTTATTTTTTTGTGTTTCATCAGAGTATATATAATTGCTTTACCTCACTTATGATTGTTATTATAATATTTTTGTCTAAATTAACTTTTTGGTTTTGAGGTTTAATATGCAAATTTTTTTTATTTTATTATGATTGTAGAACCATTCATAAGAATAAAACTAATACAGTTCGTTATTGATGGTTCAAGTTTCTTTTTATTTCATTATCAAATAGTGTAGAAAATGCTAAAAAAAATATCAACGATTGCTCTGTTTGTTCATGGTGTGTAACGTTTTTAAAAAGTGCTTATTTTTGAAAATGAGAATTTTTTTTTTACCACCTCGATTTTCGCCATGTATTATGTAAAAGCGTGCTTTTCTCATTGTTCTATTCAACGTTTTCCCAATTCAATCTACCGCTATCTATTTTGGCGTACCGTCGGTCCATTGCGTATGAGAACGCCTATCATTTTACATGTTTGATGAAATACTTACTGTTCCGCATGTGTTTCTACTGAGGTGGGTTCGATGAGATTATTGCACTTTCATGTGCAACGCTGCTTCATTTTGCAAGATATTCTCAATTTTAAGTTTCATTTTCCAGCCTCTGATATCGAACTCAAAAATCTCTTGATCATTTTATAATGGAAAATATAATCAAGAAAATAGTTCTTTGTCAGAAACTAGTTACTTTATTATGATCATGTAAAGTGTTTGAAAACTATTTTCATTTTGTAAATGTATATAGTGCTTAAAAATATTTTTCGAGTGCTTAAAAAGCGCTTATTTTTTGTTGAAAGATTTGGCTACGCACCCTGTTGTTTATCAATTATTGTTTTTTATTTATCAAAAATAGTACATTTGATTTATGTTATTATATTCAATCTATAACTTGTAATTTTTTAAAGAAAAGGAATGTAATTTTATATTCCTTTTGGATAATATATTTCATAAAATATTTCTGCTTGCGAAAAAATAATTTATACTCAAATAAGGAAAACAATTTGATGTTAAGTTAACATCAAACTGTTTTCCTTATTTAATATTAAATAACCGGTGGGTATTAAATAAACGTTTTGATAATTTGTGTGATTCAAATAATCGATCCTTAATTGAATAGTCAAAGACTAATTTCAATATTTTTTCTATTTCAGGCATAAAAAAACTAATAAGTTTGCTTTGGCTAAGGAAGCATTAAGAATGGCTATTCATTTGAATGATCTTAATGAAGAAGCAAAACAACTGTTGCTGAAAATAGAAGTAAATACATTTAATATGATTTTAATTTTTTTGCTTTGCTTGCTATTGCGTTAAAATTGATAGCAACTAAAATTAATTTTTCTACAAAATAGTTATATTTTCCAAAATTCTTTGCAATTATAGTGTAATGTGCTTTTTACATTTTTCTAATGGCTGGATGCTGAGTCTTCTAAAAGCTTTTTTTCTACTAGACTTTGTGTTAAGTGCGATATTAAAAATTTTATTATCACTAAATAGCTAGTGGATGTTATAAACAAAAGCATTGTTAGTTAGGTTATGTATAGACTTTACTTTAAATGATTTTTTTTTTGCATCAGCTTTAATTTTTTTGGTTAAAAATATTGCTAATGCAGTAGAATATTAGGAAAAATATTTTTCAAATAATTACTTAAATTTATGCAACTTTTTTTTAAGGAGGAAGAAGAAGAAATTGAATGTCTTAAAAGCAATAAAATTTCTTTGATTCCAACAATTGTTAATGGAAGTCCTACTAAAACTCATAAACCAAGTCCTACAAAGAAAAAGAGGTATGTTTAAAAGCCTTGTGGTAATAATTCTTTACTTGTATCACTTTTGAAATTGTTTATTTAAAGTGTATAATTGCAACTGAAGCTAATTAATCAACAATGAAATTATTTTTATTAAATTTTAATTGATGTGATCTTTTTTTAATGTTTATGCATGTATTTTATTTAGTAACTGTTTGATATTAGATGCCTTTTACTGTGTTTTAAATTATGGTTTTGTCAGATGCATATTGTTCATTTAATTTGGCTGTGCCTTGAATTTTTTTAGCTACTTTTGGCGGAAACGATTAAAAAATTTTTTTGACAAATTCAAACTCTTCAAAAAAAATTCCAGATGTTTCATTTATAGTTAAATAAGATACGTGGAAATTTTATTTTGATGCAGAACAGTTCTATAATGGTACATAAGAAAAAAATAAGATAAAAGAGGTTGAGAATTGATTTTAACTCTCGTAATCACAGACTCGAGTAGTATGAAGAGAAGGTCTAATTGTGGACAGTTCACATCATGCGCTTCCTTTGTTTTCGGTATTACCATCTCGTCCAGTTCTGGTTTTCTTTGCCCCTGGCTGCAATGTTATTATTTTTAAAAGCTTCTGTAATATTGGTTTGCTTATGTATTATGTTTCACTTCTATAGTGTCCGGAAGGCAATATCTCTATGGTGAAGTTTTTTTAAAATTTTTTTACTCTTCTTGTTTGTAATCAACATACCTCTCAAAGGTTTAAAATTAAATAAGATTTACTTTCACAAATTGCATATATTTTGCAAATATTATTGACAAATTCTTAAAAAATAATTGTGCTAAAGTGTACATTTATCACTGTTACAAAAAGCGTTAGCTTGACACAAAGAAAGTAATGATTGAATTCAATGTAGCATTATAATTTCATTGATTTGAATATATTGTAAACATCTGAACATATTCAAATTGTTTGATGATCTTCAGATGTTCAAGGATAGTCGTCACCAATATTTTAATATTAATCTCAATGAAGCAATTGATTTTTTAAATCAATTACGTAAAAAACTCTACTGGTAAAAATAGTTAAAATTATTATTTTCTTTCCATATTTTTGCCAGAGGGGTAGGATCTTGAAAATTGAACGAAAGGTTAGATAATTAAGAGTAGTTATTCACTTACTTTAAAAATTTAATCAGAGATGATTTAAAGGTATGACTGATGAGAAAAGTAACAAGCAATAGCAAGTCATAAAGTTTGTAATAAATAATAAAACATTAATTTTTATTAATTACAGCAGTATGTTTACTTCCTAAAATTTCTCCGGAAAATTTTATGATTAAAATTTGTTAAGATATTGTGAAAAGCTAGTTTCCGGAAATTGCATTTATAATTCCAATGCTAATAAGCATTAATTTGGCATAACACTTTCTTTATTTAACTTTTACACATTTTTTGTTTTAAAGAAAAACAGTTGTAATTAAGTAAACTTATATTCTTCATAAAAATTTTGTATTAATTCAAGCAAAATTTATACATCTTTGATTATGACTTTTCAAAATATCATATATTTTTTCAAGTAAAATCTTTGTTAAAATGTATTAAGGAGAGAGTAAATGATGCTTCATTATTTAAAAATTTGTTTTTCAATTTATCGAAATATATATATTTTTTTATTATTGATCTCTAGTGGTAACTTTTTCTCCTTCATTTTTACTTTAAAAAATATTTATTCCTCTATATATTATAAAATATTTTTATGCATACATCTTCTGATATAACGGTACAAAAATAATAATTTTTTCATATCGTAAAAAGAGAATTTTCGTTTTCCTTATTTAAAAAAAAATTTATTTGATCAAATGAAAAATATATTTCTTTGCTTTTTTTACTGAATGATCTCTGAATTTTCTAATGAAGATTATGAAAGAAACTACTTATTTGAAAAGCTGTACAAGAAATAGACACACAATAAAAAATTATGCCAAACAAAAAGGGATTGACCCTGTAATAGCCCAATTTATATAAATCGGGATCTATTTATTTGTCACAATGATCAATCACGTTTCGTTTATTTTGATTGTAAATTGAAATTAAATAAAGGTGACAACACAAACTGATGGTTGAATTTAGAGAGCCAGAAGAAGCTATTTATTTCATGTTGAATTCTGGAGCTAGTCTCAGATTTTGCACTGTGATTATCATTTTTTACTCATGACCAGAACTGGCTCGTTGATCTTCCTAAGCTAGCTTTAGTGATTATGGGGGTAATTAACAAAAATATCTAGCAGAGACTAACTAATTATTGTTTCATTTGAAAGTAAAAAGTGTTTATATATTCACTTTTTTTTTGTATGAAGTGATTTCATTGGATATTACAAAAAATATATATTTTCCTGATTTCAGCAGAATTTAAACTGTTTTTATTTCTTGAACAATGAATCATTCCTTGAAGCTTTAATAAAAAGTAAATGCATGATTATAATGTGATTTAATCCTTAAGAGATAGATAAAAGTATGACAATAAAATTGAAAGGATCTTGCTTAATTTAATGAACCCAAAAGAAACTGATACTTAGGAGAAAGTGGTTAATTGCTGTAAACAATAATGGTGCAGTATATGGTGATTGGAAAGAATCAGAAATATTAAAAGATATTACTGTGTTGAAAGATTTGTCAGAAGGGAAAGATGACAAGACAGTAAATTTAAACAAAATGTATAATCACAGGTATTACAACATAGCTGCAAATTCAAGGTCATACTTTGGACAAAAACAGTAGTTAAAATATGGTTAGATTTGAACATTTTGACTTGAAAATAGCAAACTGAGATGTATGTTAATAGAAATTGATGTGGTGTCATTAATTTGTTGTGTTTAAATATTTTGTCTTACCTTACAAATAAATTCTTGCTTTTCTTTTGGTATCAAGATAATGTTGATGCTATGTTACTAATGATTAAAACAATACTATAGGCGAAGGCACAGAAGTCGTCGTGAAGAATATGAAAGGAGGAAGCAGTTAAGACACAAGTCAAAATCTGGATCACCAAAGAGAAAAAAATCATTGCAATCTGTTATAAACAAAGTTGTAGCACCTTGATTTACTGCTTATTATTGTATATTTGTAAAATATATTGTAAATAAATTTATTTGTATGGTCGTTGCTTCTGTTTTGAAAAAGTGTATAACATACCTATTTTGTTAGTTTCCAACTATTGTTTAAATGTATAGTTTCTGCAGCAACCTATGTCAGAACATTAGGCGTCTTTTATTTTAAATAGATTCTTTCACAAATCCTTAGTTAAATATTTTTGAATACATAGTTATATGTATTAAAATTAATTTATCTGTATAGCTCTTTCTTATTTGAAAGGCGGCATAAGATGGACAGTAACCAGTTTTGTAAGAAATTAGCTGGATATTTGTATGTAACACATTTTTTTCATTTTAACTTTAAACGCTAATCATATAATGCATGAAATTACAGGATAGACCTAGAAAATAATAAATGCTTAAAAATTAAATAAAAGGTCATGTAAATGGAAGGTAACCAACATTTTGCTAATGCTTAAAATGTATAAATGTGTAACTAAATAAAAATATTACTTCATGATGCAGTGTAGCAAAGTGTTTTAATTTTTTTAAACAAAAATTTAAGCAATGAAAATATTAAATACATAAAAAAAACATGATGGTTGTTATATAACAGATTACAATATACAATAGATATATTCATTATGTGATTTTACATGGAATTTTAGGATAACCAAATGATTTAGCCACAGCTGTTAAATCTAGGGTCTCTTCCTTAAATACTTGTTTCATGTAATGTGATCTGTATGCACGAATATAGGATGTGAAGGCTCCTTTGGCTAAAGCATTTAAATAATAATTCTTAGTCACCAGTTCTTCAATCTGAAATAGTTAAAAATATTATGAATTAACTTTGTTAATATTATTAATATTAAGCACAGAAAAGTGCATTGCACTATAATAAAAAACAATAACATTTATAAAATTAAATTATAAAAAAACTACTAAAAAATAAATTTAATTTTTACAATCTTAGCAATGTTGAGTTGTGATGATGAGCAATGATAAGATAAATAAATAAAAGTGAGACAGGATAAGTTTTTTTAAACCCCTTCTCTTTCAGCATCACATCTCATACGTTCAGCATTTTTGTGCCTGTACGGTTGTTGTAGTATGCTATGCAGCGAAGTGAAAAATTGCATTATTGAAATTGAATTTGTCACCACTAACATGTCTTTTTAAATCCTGCGATTATCTTTTTATTTCTAAATATTGCTAAGAGATGGCGCCTCTAGTCTCACTTTTCAGTGATATTTCCTACCTTGAATTGAAATCAAAATCATTTTGTAATTCCGCTTTCATTAGTATTAACCTAGACTGTCAAAATAGTTATGATGTATTCAGAGAGTGAGTCCAAGGACAGTGAATTTATTATCTATCAGTCGGAAGACGACAGTTCTGATTTATTAAGTTGAAAGTTACTTTCCAAAATATTTCTTACCCAATTTTAATAATTATTTTATAAAGATATGTATATTAAATAGAGTTAATAAATATTTTATCACAGTGTATTTTTGTAGGATAAAACTTGAGTGCATTTGCAAGGAAAACTGAAGATTAGTGAACGGGAGAAATATTTCATTACCAATAGCAGTAAGCAAACAATTGCTTGCTGACAAAAGTATTTTTCACTTTCCAATTCAGGGTAGAACATACATTAATTTTCAGCAATAAAAAAATGGTTTTTTTGGGAGGTCAGAAATTCAGGAAAAAAAATCAGAGAAGGGATTATATAGATATAAATGTACTTAATAATAGACAATGTACACTTTGTACGTAGTTAAAATATATACTCATTGAAAAGAATATGATCAACCCAACAATGCAGTGAATTGATATTCCAAAAGATTATTCCACAGTTTAAAAACAATTTTCCTGAAAATTTCAGGTTTTCCCTCATTTCAGAGTGAGTGGCCACTCTGAGTTAGTATAAAAAGTATTACTAAAAATGTTGAATAAATATAAATTTTTTGATAAATTATAAAATATTAATCTAACCTTTTAATTTTCACATAAAAATATTCTTATACTCTGGGAATTTCATATAAACTTAAAACTTTTAAATATTAATTTTTCTTCAAAAAGCTGAATTTATTAAGCCTTGTTTTACATACTCAAATTTTTAAAACAAGTTAGAATTTATGTTAAAATAGAATTTTAAAATTAATATTTTCTAACACAATTTTAGAAGCGGAACCCAATTATATTTTTTTGGAGTTATTTAAACCCTTTAAATCTTTTATACATAATACTTCCAAACTATTTTTAAAAATTGGGTACATTTATGAATTATCCTTTACTAGTATACCTCTCTTTGAGCTTCGACCTCATCTGGTACTTTGTTCCAAGTAAACTCATAATATTCCAATTCAACCTTTTCTTTTTTCAAATAAGCAATAAACTTCATTTCTTCAGGGCGAAGCATAAGAAGAGCATTTCCCACTAAATTCATTCCTCGAGCAGTTCTTCCAACACGATGAATGTATTCCTAAAAATTAAAACTTTTTTTTTCAAATACATAAAATAAGTTGAATGGAAAGTCATAAGTCTACAATTTCAATTTATAATAAAATTCTTGTTGATTCACATTTTCAAAAAAAAAAAAAATAATTCTACCTAATTTTTTTTTTTAAAGTTTTACATTTCCTTAAAACAAATTTGTAAAAAACAAAGATATTTTTAATACAGAAAGTAATTTTGATGTTTGCCCTAATTAAATAAATAATAATAAACAGATTCTCCTGTTAGATTTTTGATGAATAAGGAAAATTCTATGTTTTTTTAGTCATTTTTAATAAGTTAATGTTAAGTACACTGATAAATGTACAATAAGATAATCATAAATAAGAAAATGCAAAAGATAAAAAACTAAAATGCATAGGAAAAAAAACATAAAACACACTTACTTTAGGATTGTTGGGAGGATCAAATTGTACAATCCAATCAACTTTGGGTATATCAAGACCTCTACCAACAATATCAGTACACAGTAAAACACCAGTAACTGCTTTACAAAACTGGCTAAAATTACGTGCTCTTATTTCTTGCTTTTGTTGACCCTGAAATTAAAAAATTATTCACAAAGTTTAAACTAACATAAGTGGTAATTTGCTTTTACAAAGAGAAAATTTTCTAAATTTTTAAAAAAAAAAGTGTAAGAAATAGCACTGTATCAAATTTCCCCGCAGTAAATTGAGCTTAAAATTTTTCAAAAAATATTTCAGTAATAAATCACTCCAAAATAAAATTTCGTAGGTACAAATATTTACATTTTTTAAAAAATCAATACAAAGTTGAATTTAAGGCATTATCTTCAATATAACAGCTAAAAATTTGAAAAGTTGTTGCCTGAAGAGTCAGTAAACCAGAAGACAGTGTGTAGTAGTACTGGTTTAGATATTGTGGGTATTGCAGATGTCGTTTTTCCTGATCTTAACCCTAAAGTATTTGCACCTCAAAAATTACATACTATTATAATAACAGATATGAAAATTTAATACATAGTTGATCTGACTTTTGAAACATCTTAACATACATTAAGTTTACAGAACAAAGCCCCCAACTTAAAAAATTAAGTAAAAAAAGAAGTAAAAGTGGATCAAAACAGTGGAAAAAATATCTAAAAATAATTCCTTTTAATGCAAAAGTAATTTTCTTTACTATTATTGTATATAGAGGAATTGAAACTATGATGCAAAATTAGACAAACAGAAAAAAAAATTTAGTACTTTAAAGTTTCATTATTTATCGAGCTTTTAATTGGGTTTGATTCTTTATAAAACAAAAAATATACACATTTCAGAATATTTATTAAAAAAATTCATAAATTAGTTAATAGTTTATCAATCCAATATGGTTTTTGTAAAAAATTGTAATTAGATTTTAAAACTTTCTTAAGCTATAATAAATGTAGAATTTCAGCAACTCCAAGCCAAAAGTAATTTTTGGATGGATTTTGAGATTTCCATTACAAATTTAAATTTTGACCACTATTGAGTTATCAGGTCATAGGGATTATTTTTCAACCAAACAAAAGAGACAAATCACAAATTTTGAAGTTCTATCCATCAAAAATAATTAATGAATTTGTAGAAAATAGTATAAATGACTATAACTTCTCACTTTAAAAATTTTTGATCATAAAATTATTTTATTTTTCTCCATAAAGCCACTCAAATCCCAAAAATTCTGAAATAACGAATATTGTATGTAAAATTCGGATATTCTGAACATTTGTATATAATAAGTGGATAGTTTCAAAGTTCATTTGGCAACTTCAGAATTGTGAACTTTTTTTTTAATTATATTAAACCATTTATATTAATAGATTAAAAATGTATACATAATTCAAATTCATGAAGATCTTTATGACTGAACTGTTTCATGTATTATTTGAAAAAATTAGATAACGGAAAGGACCCCTACTCAGCATTAAATTATTTATTTCATTATTACGTATTAAAAAACTTTTAAAAATTTCAAATCTTTAAAGTATCTACTTCGGCCTAAAGATTAAGTGCAATTGTTTTATATTTTAAGAGAAGGAAAACTCTTAACTCTTATTTTAAACTACAAGTAATACACTATTTAATGTACTAAGAGAAGGGGAAAAAAATATTAGTATCAATTTTTTTGCAAAAATCTCTCTTCATATACAAAGGTATTTTTTAGAAATAGTGCATTAATTTAGGTTTTGAACAAAATTCAGATTAAGAAAAGATAATTTATTCAGAGTACTTCATAAAATATAACACAATGAAAACTTTTAAAATATGTCAGAAATCTACTAAAAAAAATATATATATATACAGGGTGTCTATAAAAGAACTCTGGGGTTTTGAGGCAAAATATTTTAATGAAATAAAAAACATACATACATGTTTTATACATGACTGAAAAGCTTACATTTTCAAGTTTTTTTAACACTTAGTAAAGTTCTATATGAGCCCCGTTAGTGGCACGGCAGACGTCTAAACGGTATTCTACCTCTTCCCATGTCCTGGCGAGCATGTCTGGGGTGACAGTTGCCACACAATTGACTATTCGTTCCCTGAGATGTTGAACATAACGAATTTTCTCTGCACTTTGCACGGTAACTAAAGACTTCGTTTCTATGAGCCAAATAACACATTGAGCCTTTTGTTGTGGAGTCGCCATCATTTCAAATTTCGCGAAGTCATTTCAAGGTCAACGCCCTGCAGCGTCGCCAACAGTTGATACAAACATTCCCAATTGGTATGAGTAAAACTTTTTGAGCTATTCTTTTCAGAGAAATCGACTAAATTTTGCTATGTTTTATAGTTAGTGAGATATGAATTTTTAAAACCCCGGAGTTCTTTTATAGACACCCTGTATAGAACATTATCTGCACCAGATTCATTAGAAGTGTCATCATGCTTTTGTTGGGTATTTTCTTAATTTTAGAATTTTTCATGTTTGGGTTTTTCATTGATCAACTTCTATAACTAACATACCTGAAATTTGTCATCTGGTTATAAATATGGAAGGTCCACTTACACACTAGGATAGACGGTAATATAGGTAAATAAAGAAAAAAACATGATAACACTGCGCAGCAGAAAAACACGTGTTACTGCTACATGTTCAAGCTACATAATTTCAATTTTTTTAAAGTGTTATTACATTTCAAAGTTAATCAATTCACATTCCTTTAGAATAATATACAAATGAAAGAAATAGATTAACTTACATGAATACAGCTACATGTTAAATTAATATAGTTGAATAAATCATGATGATATTTTACAGACATAACGGAACTGAAGAAGACAATGGTCTTTCTTGTACGAAACTTTTTTCGTAAAAACCATAGTAACATTAGGAGTCTTTTTTCTGAAGGACATAAAACATAACCCTGAAATAAAATAAACATATTTTAAGTAGAGTATTCAGAAGTTTCAAAATCAATTTACTCATAGAATGGTTTAATATGTCAAGTGTGAGATCAAATGTAGGTCATATATAAAGTGAGGCCAAACATAGAGACATGGCATGTAGAGAATGGGGAAAGAGAGACCGATCCAACATGTCGAAGGAGGTATCAAATGAATGACTAAGAACAGCAAACCACTTTTATAAAGGTAATATTTTTATCATAAAACACTCTTTATAATGGGTAATATTTCTGACTTTTGGAAAATATTTTATAAATATTACTAATAATAATATAAGAAAAAGAATATAAAAAATTAATTATTTTTATTAAAATCCTTTTTTTAAATAAATTTTGCAACCAAATCATCTGATAAAAAGTGTAATAATATTTAATATTATTTAAAACAATGTTTATCACAAAAATACTTAAAATCTCTAACTAGAATGTTTAAAATTATTAAATTAATTTATTAACAAAATAGTTTTAAAAAACAAAGGCAATTTGCCAGTTAAATATGCACGGAATTCAGTTTATCAGTTTAGATTAGAAATCATTAAGAAAATATAAGTTTCACTTTTTTCATTATTGATGTACACTAGCAACATATTTAATAAGTTTTAAGAGCAATTGTATTTAAATAAACATAAAACTAAATGGGTATGATTGAAATATGTTTATTACCTACAAATTATGTTATATACAACTAATGAAAAATTACAATTAAAAAAGTTTTAAAAGTTTCATGGCACTTTTAGTCACTCTTTTTTTTTTAATTTATCAATCTAGTTTGAAAAATACTAATTGTATATTCATCCCTTTTCATTTTTTTTTTTTTGTCAGAATCCTCATAATCCATGACAGATTTCTAAAGAGCAATAATATTTTCAACATGCTCTACATAAAAAAAAAAAAAATTGTTTAAAACAATTATCTTTAAAAAAAAATTAAGTGAAAGTTTAAATCGCGATTTTAATTATTATTTAAATCATGTAAACCCTGGCTACAGACCTTAAAAGTTTTGACATAAAAAAGTCAGTTGCTTGCAAAGGGGGGTGGATGTCTAAAGAAGGCAACAGTAAATGTTCATAGAACAAATGTTATCCGAAACCACTGGAGAGGGCAAAAGAAACCTGTTTAACTTATTTCATACTGATTTATTTAAATATCTACCCAAGAAGAAGTAGTCAAATTAAAAAATAATAGTAAGGTCTTGATTAAGGATGATTTTAAATTTTTTTTTTTTGAAGATTAGTAACCAAAACTAAAATTATACCTTTATATGAAGTGGTAGTTATCAATCTTCCTGAAATCGATTTTTAACAAAACATTTTTGCCACAATTTTTTATATTACTTGAAATAAATGATAACTTAATCTCTTGCATCAACCAATATGATTGGGTTAGCTAAAATAAAAACAAAATGCATAGCAATTGATATTTTCTCAAATTCATGATAATTGAGATATCTATTGTGTTGATTAAGTCTAAATTTTAAAGTGCACCTAGTTTGTCTTTTTTAAAAAGTACTTTTAAAAAAAGAAAAAAAAAAGTTTTTTAAAAGTATTATCTAGCTTTTCTTTTTTTAAAAGTACTTCTGCTTTGATCGACACTTTTATTATGATGCAGCAATTAAAATCGTTTATCTTAGATTTTTTCTTCATTTTTTCTTGAAAATATAGTAACTGGAAACCTAAGGTTCAGCTTTAAAATTTTCTTTCAATAATTAAGTTTGATTTTTACTTTTTGAAATATATATTGGAAAAAAAATATTTTTGCCGACCTTGTCAGTAGTAAAACATACCTGAGTAATTTTACTGGGAACTAACTTGATATCACTACAGGGTTGACACTCAAATCTGGAAATAAAATTCCCTGCGTTTACCCTGTACATATTATATACAATATATTAAGAGGAAACAACAATTACTATGCTCTTGTGTGAGCTATATTGGGCTAACTATATTTATTAGTTTTAATTGCTGGAAAAACAGCTGAACATACTTAAATAATGCTATAGTAAATGAAATAGTTTAGTATAGCTGAAATATCATGGTTAAATATCCTGCTTTGAGTGGTCACCCTTTTTTATAAGACAAAAATAAGAAACAAAATTCCCTGCATTTTCCCTGTTATTTTAGACGATTTTTAAATTCCCTGTATTTTCCAGGTTTTCCCTGTGGAGTGGCAACCCTGCACTAACCCTATAAAGCATTTTTCAACTATTTAATAACAAAATTAATAATTTAATTCAATAACAAAATGAAAAAAAATTGTTATTTTAATACTTCAGGTAAACAATGATGAGAACTTACTTGTCTTAATGTCTCAACAGTTGCCATTGAGCGTATTTTTCCATTTTCTGGACTCTTATTTATGCCTAAGTACAGTGCAGTTTTTCTAAGGAATGCATTTGCTAAACCTTCAGTCTTATCAGTAATTGTGGCACTTATAAGAAGATTCTGTCTATATTCTGTTATAGGGAAAACATATATATTATTTAAAATCTAATTTCAAAACAAACATTTAGCATAAAAAACAGTTTTCATTACCTTTTTTATGAAAATACACTTATTAATCTTAAATTGTAATAATATACAGATAATTTAATAACAAAATATCAAAAATTTTATATAAGGCATTATGCAACACAAATGTCTACCAATACAGGCACAGACAAATAAATTTACTCATTAGAGGACTCAAATCATTAAATTCATGTTTTTTAAATAATAAAAAAATAAAACATTAGACTTAGAAAATATGGAAGATAAAGAATGGGAAGTAAAGCAAGAAACATTAGAAGGTTAAGATTTATTGAATAAAGACTCACAGCAAATGAAAGAAGAAATAGCATAATCCCTTCAAAAATTAGTTTAGGCATGCCACAAAAATGGTTTAAGAGAAAGGTAATGCGATACTGCTATGAATTAAAAGCAACAGATTTTCCATATGGTAACAGCTGCTTCATGAGTAAAAACAGAAGGATTCTGTCAAATAGCAGCTAGTGATATATAAAATGTATTTACTATTACAATTTAAAGCAGAAGAAAACATGGGGTAGTCTTAATCACCTATCAGCATCAATGGTGATGCAATGTATTTATTTATGGATCAAAGCAATTATAATTATATCAGCTAGGTGTCTAATAATATACGCCACTAAATATTATTGAAACCAACACAGAACTTGCTACTGAATATTGATGTGATAAAAGGGAGGTAATCAAGATAGGAGCAAACAGATGACAGTAATTTTTTTGAAAACAGCGACACTGCATATTAGCAGAACTCTTGACATAGTAATTAAGTAATTTTTCCAGATCACACCTTGCAGCACTATTTAATACTTAAAACTACTTGAAAACCCTAGAGGTATCAGAATTTGACACCATAGCTCATAATAGCATTCTCATCTAAGGGAGGATGGGGCACAGTGGTAAATTTTCGTATTTCAAATTTTTCTTTAGAAAAAGTAAAGTAGAAACACTATATGCTTGAAAAAAATGTCAAACATTCTTCAAACCTTTCTCATTGTGTCTTATTTTCTTACAACAATTGGATTGCATCATTGCTAAAAAAATACATTGTGTGCACTCAGGAAATGTTTTATATTGAACTAACAAAAATTACTTTATTTTACGATTCTAGTGAAATGAGTATACCGAATAAAATTACCAAGTAAAAGAAATCTGAATATTCAATTTAAAAAATCAAATGAAACGAAGAAATTTTGCTAAGCAAAAATAAATCGAAATTAGTGAATGTTAAAATTTGTTAATAAAATATTTAGAGACTTAAGGAGAATGACATAAAAAATATATTTTAAAACTCATTAATACCTATTAGATTTTGTGACAATAATACAAAACTTTAGTACTTATGATTAGTGCTTTAACCACTGTTGTGGTTTGACCTTATACAGGCCTTTTAAATAACAGTTAACATCGTTTTAATTTTAATTAGTCATTATGTTATTTATAGCTTGCTTTCTATAACATTAGTATTTTGTTATTCGCTGTTATATGAGAAATTTTATTTTCGAAAAATGACAATCAAAAAAAGCTAAGTTAGTTTGAAAAAATTTAATAGTAATAAATAAAAATCTATCTTTAAAAATGAATTCTTATTTATATACAAACAAACCAGAGAAAAAATGCTAAAATTATTATTGTGAAAGTCTATGCCAATACCATGATTGTTTTTTATATTCCTGCATCTTTGAACTTGCAGACTTAAAGATGGTTTCCTTAAAAATACTATGTTCATAAACTTTAAAAACAATATCTTAAAAAACAAAATTTATTAAAATTTATGGATTTTGCTTAAAAAAAACATACAGTGGTATTATATACAACAATTTAAGTAAAAATGCTTCAATAAATCACTTACTTGGTAAGCTATTAATAATAAATTTAACTTCTTCCTCAAAACCAATATCTAATACTCTGTCAGCTTCATCAATTATCAAGCACTGATTATTTTTGAACACAAACTCTGGAGTATTCTAAATATACACAAGTAATTTTTAGTTAGTACACATTTTAAAATAATATTATCGAACTCAACTAAATTCAAGGTCAACAATTAAGGGGTTAAGAAAGATAACATATTTTGCGTGTTATCGAACACGCAATATATGTTTTCTTTCTTAACCCCTTAATCGTTGACCTTGAATTTAGTTGAGGGTGAAATATTGAAATTAAATTTTATAGAATTGAATAATAATGCAAATTCGTTTTAACAACTTAACACAGAAATTTTAAACAAAATTGACTAAGTATCGTAAACAGCAAAAGGGGGAATGACAGTAAGTAAAAAATAATGTAAATACATGTAACACTTAAAAAAATCAACAAAAACTCTCTGAGTATAAAACTTTCAGCTTTTCTGAATTGAAAAAAAAAAGCATGCCATTTAATTGTAAAACCAGTATAGCCGAAAGTTTTCAGTTTAATTTTGCATTTATGATATTTTTTTATGAGATATATTTTTAAAACATAATTTTAAAATACATAGTCTTTATCATTTGTATTAATTTTACCCTAAATATAATTTTTAATAGCTCAAATTAATCAAATATCTAATAAAAAGGATAGCATCAAATCAGTAGAGAGACACATTTAATAATTACCTAGCAGTTTAAACCAGGGTTTAAAAAGAAATGCCCAGTCATTTTTTTTAAAAGAAAAAAAACAACTGGGTTGTTTGGTTCCTTCTCTTTTTTTTAGATATTACATAGNCAAATATCTAATAAAAAGGATAACATCAAATCAGAAGAGAGACACATTTAATAATTACCTAGAAGTTTAAACCAGGGTTTAAAAAGAAATGCCCAGTCATTTTTTTTAAAAGAAAAAAACAACTGGGTTGTTTGGTTCCTTCTCTTTTTTTTAGATATTACATAGAATAACACTCTTGGGTTCAAATATAAATTTTTACTTGAAACGAGAACAATTTTAGGTAATAAGAAAACTTTCATAGCAAAATAATAATTCAAAAATTACTAAAATGAAAAAAAAAATTAGTATCATCTTTTTCAGTTAGTATTAATAAAGGTTCCTAATCAGACCAGAAAATAAGAAAATGACCACTCACCATGGGGCAAGTCGGTAAAAAAAAAAAAAATGCCGCATTAAGTTAAGTCAACAACTGACCAATTTTTCCTAGCTTTTTCTTTTCTTTTTTTAGATTGCTTAATGATAAATTCACATCAATGCAAAAAGATTCAGCATAACAGAATTTTCATTAAAGTGTCTCCTTTCAAAATTTTGATCCTTCAAAATCTACCAATTTGTGATATAAAAATTCATGTGCAAGGAGAGTTCTTTGCAATTCACATATTTCAAAGTTGTGAAGTATACATTAAATGAATTTTGCCTCCCCAAATATTTTTAAATGAAGTTCTATAAAGTTAGCATGTTAAACAAAATTTTGTCATTTATTTATATTATTTTTATTGCTGAATTAACTTTTTACAGCCATAAATTGTTTCTAATATAAATTATTTTCATATAATTTAATCCAAGCTAAAATTTGTCAAAAGTGGTTATTAAATGAAAAGTATCGATCAATACCTGATACCAATTCATTAGGTTTGAGGAAAAAGTAGCTACTAAGTTATAAGAGTCTATAAGCTGCTGGCTATTAACTGAAAATTTTAATTACCACTAAAAAATTCCTAATTTATTTTTTTCTATAATTAGATAAAAGCATATTATTGAGGTAAGAGAAATATGTGATCTTTGTTGGGTTGTTTTTCAAATTCAGAAAATATAGTTCAACTGTTCGATTTTTTAAGCTACAGTTTCACTTTCTTGTTAAAATGAAGTCTGTGAACCTTTAGCAGTCAATTACAGAACCATTCTTTATTTAATGATATTCATTATGTGTAGTTATTTCATTTGCTCTGTGTATGTATGTGAGTGTGTGTACATATATAGCATAATAAATAAATACAAAAAGAAAAAAAAAGAAGAAAATTAAGAGAAACAATAAGTTTTATTTACTGTGCATAAGCTGCAAGTAAATAGAACTGATAAAACGAGTTCAAAATGTAGAGAAAACACGGAAAAAATTATAGAACAATGAAAAAAGGGAAAAAGAAAAATAATATTTATAAAAATAGTAAAAAATCTGGAAAAATTTCCTAAAAAAACGAAGAAAAAATATTTATATAAATCCGAAAATAAAAGATATCTTTTCATTAGCTCACACGATTATATCCGCAAAATACTCACACGATTATATCGCATATTTTTTTAGTGCTCCTCACACTATTGTATTGATATATTTTACTTTGGCCATATCGATACAACATTATAAAGCACTCCTTTTTGAGGACATAATCGTGTGTGCTGATGAAAAGATTATATACTATTTTATTTCTCAGATCCTTATAAATTTTTTTATTCCTTTTTTTGGAATTTTTTTATTATTATTCTTTTTTTCATTGTTCTGTAATTTTTTCCATGTTTTCTCTACATTTTGAACTTATATATACAACTGATTTTACGAGAATCGATAAATTTAGAATTGTGATTTAGTCAATTTAAATTATTAAACATGGAAATCAGAAGAATTTGTAAGTAAATTAAGTAAACTAAGAAACAATTGTCAAATTATAAATTTTGCTGCTCAGGCAAACTTGACATATTCTTAGTTCACCTGAGGTCAAACTGATCTTCTTCTATGAGTAGTGATTTTAGTATTATTTTTTTTTTTAACATGTCAAAAACTAAAAGAACTTTGTGGCGATTCTATGCAATTTTAAGTTTTTAGCTCCTTATTAATGTAAAAGAATTAAGTTTTAACATTTACTTTTAAATGATCCACTAATCTGCCAGGAGTTGCTACAAGGATATTTACACCATTGCTTAGTTTTTTAGCTTCTTCTTTCCTATTGACTCCGCCCATAATCAAACCATGACTTTGAGAGTGATACTTTATAAGTTGTTTCAATACATTATAAGTCTGTAAGGATAGCTCTCGAGTCGGTGATAAAATTACTACACCAAGTCCATTTCTTAAAGTAAATTTCAACTTATGAAGAAGTTCAACAGCAGTAATAAGAAAAGTTAGAGTTTTACCACTGCCAGTCTTAGAGCATACCACAGCATCTCTAAAAAAGAAAAATATATAAAGTTACACACTTATCGAGAATTAAAAAAGAAATACTGATAAAATAATGTATTCAGTAAAAATATCAGACATTACCATCATCTGGCTATCTTACTTAAGAAAATTAACTAAAGCATTGGAATTTCAAACACAACTTAGCTTCGTGCTTTCAATTGCAGTTTCAATTACAATAAAATATATTTATCGGGGTTAGCATTTTGGTTAGTTCAGTATCAAGTTGAACGAAAGAAATTATTTCTTACAGAAAGCTGAAAGAAACTTGAAAAAGTTGGAAGAAACAGGACAAAATAGAAAAAACTAAATATGAACAATACAACTGTTTAGCAGTAAGTTTTATAAGAATAGTTTAAATTTAATCAAACTAAATTTACATATAATGTAAAAAAGTTAAAAAATTTCCCATTAACTCATTTAAAGAAACAACTAATTTCATAATTTTTTAGTTTTATATAGAATTTAAAATCCATGCATCAGATGATTTAAGTGCCAGCTAGAATATTCATACTTAACAGCAATTAGGTACTATATGCTATTTGTAATTAAGAAATCATTATGTGTTTCAGTTGCATCTATATTTAGTATGTGATTTGAAAATTCAGTAGCATTAATAAAATGTTATTTGATTTTTTTTAAATGTTGTTTTAACAGCTCTTTATACAATTATAGAATTTGATTTTACAATATATAATCACATAAAATTTTTAATTTTTTTAATTTCTAAAGAAATTTATTATTTATTAATTTTTGTCTAATTGTTACTCTTAATTCTGATTGTTAATTTTTACTTATTTAAGAATACTAAATTAAATAGCCTGAAAAATTGTATTATTTGAACTGAATTACAATTATAAATTCTTTAAAGAACTGTTCTATTATTTGATATCTCTTTTCAAAAAGAATTCCATTTCTTCCACTTATGTTGGAAGAAACCTATTTCTTCCATGGCAGTTTTCTTTCTGGATTTTGTCCACTATGGGAGAAATTTGGCTGGCATCCCTGATATATATATAAATAGAAAACTTAATTTTGTAAGATTATTGTTATTATCTTTTAAAAAAAGCAATATATGCTTAAACTTCTTTGTTTTATTTAAAAGTGAACTTATTATAGAGCTTAATGGAACATGAGCTAGAAGTGGGAGTGAGGCCAAATATAACTCTGTAGTCCAGGTAACAAAACTAAATGATGAAGTTGTAAATTAAGTCTGCTGAAAAATTAAGCATTTTATGTTAGATGATAGGATTATGATAGAAAGATCTATCTTCTTAAAAAGATAGATCACCAAGATATCTCTGGTTTCGTGGTATCTAAGGCTATCTTAAGAAGGTAAACAAAGTGATGATCAAATTTTCTTGATGTTATAATTTCATAATATGTATTAAATTTAGGAAGAAAATTTATTTTTTAAATTTAGTGTTTTGTTGTTGTTGACGTATGCCTGTTTAGACAGAGGGGGTGCGATTGTTCTTATTTTCAAGTGGCGCCATCTATGGCCAAGAATTCGACTTCTACCACACCATTCGTCACACCCGATTATAGGGCGGGCCCATTTATTCATCCACAGATCATAATTTTGACCTGAATCCATGGGTGCAAGTTGGAAAAAAGGCCAAGACTGAAAACTTTTTGGCTGAAATAAATACCTAACATACACAATACCCCCTCGACATATGCAAACTATCTAACAAAGCTTTACCATAATACATCAAGATTAAATACTGTACAAAAAATATTTATTCATCTGTCTTTTGATAAAACTACATCAGGACATAAGAAAATAGACCAATAACGTAGACCTCAAAAATATTTTTATGGACAGAAAAAAAAAAATCCGATTTCCGTCTTCGAGTCAGTCTTGTTTCCGTCTTACTTCCGTCCGCGGACATTTTCGAAAGACGGAAATCCGTCCTGGGGACGGAAGACTTGCACCCGTGCCTGAATCAGAGAACGATCGATCTCCAATCCAGTACCCCCAGAGGTATTGATTTATTATGGGAATATGTAATACTTCTGTGACTGGACAGATTTAACGTGCATCAGTCACTTTATTACACGGGGAGTCTTCGGTCGGCGGGGTTTGAACCCACGAACTCTCAGTCATGGGCCCAGTGCCCTACCGACCAGGCTATCCCGGTCGTTTAGTGTTTTAAAATTAGATAATCAAATTAATACACTAGATAAATAATATTATATAATCTATAATTAAAAATTTCACAATATTGTTAAACTAATAGAAGAACAAAGATACAATAGAATACTTTTTTGTAATTAATAATAACTAAACTTTATAAATGAGTTGTGTAAACTTCTTACTTTCCTGTTAACAATGCAGGAAGAGCCTCTGTCTGTATATTTGTCATATGCTGAAAACCCATATCAGCTATAGCATTTAATGTTTTTTCACTTATTTGATCACTAAGAGAGCTGAAAGGAACACTGCTAATATTCATGATGAAAATTGAGATTACCCAACAGTTGCAATAATCACCTAATTGAAGAAAAAAAATTAACAAAAAATACACAATTAAACAATCATGAAGATAAGAGTTTTAAATAGAGTGAATTAATGTAAATTTTTCTTCAAAATCAAAATTTCTCCCGAATAGTTTTCAATGCTGTTATTGCTGCACGGCAACACAAAATTATGGAAATGTGAAGGGAAGATAATCTTTGGGCATTGAGTAACTTTATTGAGAAAAAAAATCAAATTGAAGATATTTAGAAAAAATTCAAAATTGAAAATTAATAAAAGGGATAGAATTCAAATTGCAAAGATGTTTAGAATTTTTTTAATTTATATTCTCCCCAGTGATCGATAATTATTAACAGAACAAGTCTTATACCTGCAACAGTTATTTCTAAAACAGGACCTAAGTAGAAAAGAAAAGTTTATCAACCATTATTTGGTTTTAAGTTACGAAAGTAAGTTTTTGCTATAATTATTATCACAATCACATTCCTTCAATAAGTATGTATTCAATTAACATTGTTTTGATTAGAAAACTAAATGAATTATAGTTAATTACCTAGTAAGTATAAGAATTTTAATTTGTTTTTACAAGTGCACAGTTTCTTACTGAATTAATGATTATGAGCACTAACTCTAATTCAACTAGATGCAAGAAATGAAAGGCTAGTTCAAAACTATCATAGGATATTAGAATTGTTTACAATAAACAACATAATTTATTTCTGCATAATTATCGCCTTGGTATCCTTTTTTTTTCTTTTTTGCATTCGTAAGACAATTATGTAGACATAATGCAAGACAATCATGTAGATTAAATGACAATCTGTTTTATTATTTTTAAATATATTATCTACTTAGTGTACTTAACATTACATAAAGCACCAACCCATTACATTATGAAAAAAGATAAAATGTATGTAATGCCAGAAAGTTAGTCTCATATATTTTTTCTATAGGTAATAAAATTAATTAAACTAATTTCTATAAATTGATTGCACATTTTTTTTCAGCTGAAAAATAATTTTATACGAAGAATTACTTTAAAGAAGAAAAAAAAATTGTTTTATAGCTTATATTTAAGAAAATATAAAGAATAGAATTGAGTTTTAGCACAGAATCTACCAATCAGATCAGTAATTTAAATAGGTTCTTGGACTGAATCAATGATAAAATCATAAAATGACGAGTGAGTGAGCATGATATTACGAATTATTTTGACTCACAATTTGCCTAACCAAACCTACTTGTATATATTGATTCTTTAAATAATAACAATAAAAAATTTCAGTAAATTGCGAATTAAGTCAGTTTTCCTGATTTTATAATTACTGGTAGTAGATATATTTTTCTTTCCAATGTGTACAAATTATTGTATAAAAGCGAAATTATAAAAAGAGTTACAAAAGGAAGAAAAAGGTTGTAATAGACATTGAAAATTGACATAAAATGTAATAACATTAGAAAAGTTAATTAATAAAAAAAAAGACTCATCATCCGAATAATTCATAAACAAAAAAGTACTCTAGAATGCGAAGAAATACTACAAAAATCTAAAAAAGGTATCATTATTTTGAACATCTTTTAAAATGTTTTAACTAAAGTTACTTTACAATATCAAAAATCAGATAGCGCTAGAGATACGATATTGAGCTACACCAAAAAAAACGGATCAAAGTAAAAGCTAATCGTAATACATATATTTGTGAGTGTGTAATAAAAACACTAATAATTTTAAGGATTAGCTGATCAATGACTATGAAAAAATATTCACAATTTCATTTTTGCTTTAAATCTACAATATTTAATCACAAAATATTTAAAATTTACGCTTTCGCAAAAATTATATTTGTTTTATAATGGGATAAATAATTGAGTTGGATTGCAACGTAATTCATTAAAATCGTTTTCTTAAAACTTACATGAAATTAATGTTTAGGAAGGCTACGATATAAAAGTTGAAAAATTAATTTATATAAGTTAAAAACAGTATCAAACACATTTTAAAATCACACGTTTCTGGAAAATGATGTTGTGTTTACATTAAAAAGACATATTAAAAACACTTCCGGGTGCTTAGTTCTGTATTTACACGACACAACAAAACTTTAATGACAAATCTTGAAAAGAAAAACAAAGATGGCGCTAGAAAAAGTGACTTCTGATTTATTTTTCTCAAAACTTCTGACTTATTTTTCTCAATTTGATTTCACATCAAAACTTATAAACAAATGTAATTACCTATTTTCGATTTATTCTTTACGGACACCTGTTTTTCTAATTTTTTCAATGGATGGGTGATTGTGTAAAGCTAAAGGTGGTGGCGCTAGTGGTTAAATTGCTCTCGCAAGACTTCCGGATTACTGCTTCCGATATGGATGGGTGATCGTGTAAAGCTAAGGGTGGTGGCGCTAGTGGTAAAATTGCTCTTTCAAGATTTCCGGGTTATTGCTTCCGATATATTTTTAAGCCGCAGATTGAAAAAACGCGCCATCATATTAATGCATCATATCTTTTGCAGTATTTCACATGTACCGAGTTCTTTCTTTCAGCCTTTAAACTTCAGCATTATCATATTAATATTATAATCATTAGAATATTTTCTAATTAGGCTAACTTAAAAAGATATTTTTA